TTCTATTACTTTACGTAAAGCACAAGAAAGGGATAATAGCCAATATCTGTAAATCATTTGTCCCTTGCAGCTAGTTTCTATTAGGCTGAAGCCAATATTTTCTCAAGAATTCTTGAAAAAATTCTACTTGCTACGTGGATTCATAATTCAACTTAATATGTATGAGTTAGATGGGGAACCAAAAGCTCTACAAAATGTGAAGTTTTTACTTCTGCCTACAGACCTTCTGCACATGAATAATCAAGCAACCATACCAATCATCTATGCAAGGGCTCTGAGAAATAGTGAGATCATGAGGATAGCCTGAATGGAAAGAAAACATTTCAACATTGAAGAACGACTACGTCATTTACGGGCAAGAAATCCTGTAATGACAAACAATTGAATAAATAATACTGCAATCTCATGGAGTATGAATGTCTAAAAGACTTTGCGGATACTATTAAAATAAAACAGAATACAAGATGTACAATATTATGTACGCCATCTCTTAACTAGAATTCCTTGACACATCTACATAACCATTAAATTTGTAAGTCATTTTTCCGTCATTTTCTTTTTCCCCTGGGGCAAAATGTCCCCAAAACCATCGTCAAAGATATAATTTTCCACGAGATTGAATATCTGATAAGTGGTACCAATACTCTTCAAACCAATTATTCTATATTCCCACTCATTCAGCATTTTGCGGATATCACCGACGTATATGTAGGTTGTACATTTCCGCTTTCCTGACACCACCTTCACCAAGGCGTACTCTTCCGGCATAAGTGCTTGTGAAGTTGGTATTGACAATCATACTTCATTTGTCTTTCTCACTGCTATGTGAGAGCTCGTCAATTGATGACAATTCGCCATTTTACGAAACATCATCATACGTCTCAGATGTTTCATTTTTTTTTGGCAGAAGTGATTCTTTTAGTGGTTTAACAGCAAGTCTCTTCCTCTTTCTTACTTCCTGAACACCAACGCCAGCAAGTATTTTATCCTACAAATATCTAATCAGAACCTGCATAACATTTTCAATATCGTGGTCTAATTGAGCATCAATAAGTCTTCGGTCAAACTTTGGAAGGATTGAATGGTGCAATACCAGTTGTTTTATGTTACATAATGTAACATGTAATAGAAAGATCATTGTTTAATACCCTGTTACATGATTTATTTGACAAAAGACTAATATAAGTCATCCATCGACTGTTATCAAAGTAACCCCAATCACCAAATGATCATAAAAATCTTCGACATTTTAGGTTACAATATTCTTCTGTTCACCATTTTTCTCCCGAAATCCTACTCACTACTAACTTGTTAGATTATTCAATAAAATATATGCCTTTGTCCCAGCATGTAAATTTTCCGCCACACGAATTTCTTCAAAATATAATACACGAATTTTAAAACAAAACACCGCCTCAGCTATGAATGTTATGAAACAGTACTGCCGCACAACAAATGTATCAAGTCAAGAGAAGTAGCTGCTACATCACACAAACACTGAGTCAAAGTCCGGTCGCAGGATGAGGTTCGCGGTGCGCCGCTCTGGCGCAACGGCGAACAGGAAGGGTTGCGGCTGGGCCTGTCCTGGCCCGGTAAACAGCTACCGGACTCAGGACGTCCGCGCTCATGCACATGGGTACGTGGCTGCCATGACACCTCATTCATTTTTATTTAACGCCGTAGTCCGACGGATGGTCGGCGGCGGATCTCCATCCAGCGGGGGCAGGGGCAGCGTTACCGCCCGCGATAAAAACATGCAATTCACTTACGGGACTAATTACCTTACCCGTTGACGCGCCCGGAATCACTCATCAGTCAATCAATTTTCCACTAATGACGCCTTTCCCTGGAATTTGTTTATCATGAGAATGCTCATGTAGTGCTTCTCATAATTGTTGGTCTGGAAGACTTCATTTTGGATTGCCTTTATTAATCCCTCGGTTTCTGGGTAGATATAACCATCTGGGTTTCTTATGAGGTGGGCCGTAGTGGCGCACGAATATTAAAATTCTTTTCTTTCTCTTTAGATTCCCAATTATGACGTCCTAGTATACGTAAGTGCAAGGCGCCACCAACTTTTGTGACAAGATTAATCTCGAGATAAATCATGGTTGGATAACCATGATTCAGTTTTTAACAATATTTATATTCAACACCAACATTAATAAATATCTGTTTGTGGTAATAAATTAAAACTGAATGAGTATTATTTATATATTTTGTTTATTTGATAATGACCGTTCGTACTCTCTATTGTAATACTCGAATGTCTGGCTTGGTTGCATAACTATGCGGTTTTTAACAATATTATTTAATAAAGAGCAAAAGTAATAGATTTAATTAGGCGTCTCAATGGAGCAACATGATGACGTGAAGTTTTAGTGAAACTCCGTAAGTCCGCAACAGAGACATATTCTCTCTTACGTATGTACGGTGATGCAGGATTGCACATCACGCAGGATTTTGAGCGGCATAAACGGTTCAAATTAGAACGAGAAGAAACTCCCTTGGTAACGCCCTTCCACTTTGAAAACGGACGAAAGCATTGAAAGAATACGCACTCTCATCCGTGAAGATCGTCATTTTAATATATGTGCAATTGCCAAGACTGTAGGAGTCGAAAGAGAATCAGTTCGACAGATTTCAAATTAACATTTTAACATGAGGAAAGTTTATTCCAAAATAATGCCAGAGATCCTCCCGCCTAAACAAGACGTGTCAAGGATGAATATTAGTTCTGATAATTAGAAAAACAACGAAAAGGATCATAAACTGTTGGAACGAGTAATTACGTGACCAATAGTGATTTTTTACCTACGACCCGGAAAGTTAGCGCCCGTGCATGCACTGGAAGAGCCCACAGTCAAACAATGAAGAAATCTCGAAGGTCTAAATCAAAATTCATATCCATGGGGATTGTATTTTCCATATCCGTGGAATTATGTATGCAAATTAAGTGCCTGAAGGTCAAACAGTAAATAAGAAATATTATGTTGAGGTTCTAACTACTCTCCGTGAATGAGTTAGAAGAAAGCGACCTGAGTTGTGAAAGAACCAATCATGGATTCCGTATCATGACAACGCTCCATCCCATACTGCACTAATTGTTAACTAAGTGACATTTTTATGTTTCCCAATGTTAACTAAGAATTGAAAGGACCCAGTTTCGTGACAGTTGAGGATGTGAAAGAAAAAGCGACAGTTACCATGAAAATGATGCGGGAAAATGACCTGAAAGACTGTTTTGAACAATGGAAAATTCGATGAGAGTGGTGTAGGTATCATAGAGGAAAATATATTGAAGGGGATCATTTGTTTGTTTACAGAGAAACATTAAGGTTTTATTTCATTTTAGTGCTTAAATGATTGATGTATAAAACATCTTTTGGTTATAATGCCGCAACGGCTGTAATTCCCACTCTAATACATAGCATCGTTGGAGGACACGGAGAAAAGTATTCCTGCCATAACCTCAATCAAAATAGATGATAACAAGCCATATATGTTGCCACAGGAAATGAGATTTGTAACTGAACATCAAGAACTGACGAAGACTGATGTTTATAAAAGAGTGAAGAAAACGTTTACTCAAAGAGGCCAAAACAGAACAGTGTAGATCACACTAACAGAGGAAATGAAGCACCCATACATTGATGAAGAGGGTAATATAATGTTTAATGACTCGTCTTTAGAACAGATAAAAACATATATAGTAGAATACATTCAGAAGACAAAGTCAACTTAATTTAAAACGCATAACAGAAGTTGACAATTGAAAAATTTACAACTAAACATTCAAATACAAATCAAGGCGTATTTGAGAAAGAATGTAGAAGATTTGACATCAATGAAACTAATACAAAATTGAGATATTGAGACTATTCCTGGACAATTGGCACTTAACAACCCTTACAATATTGATAACGGAAGCTGACTGGTCTAAATGGAAAGAGATTTTTACAGTCATTTGCAAACACAGGTAGTAAGTAGTTATCGAATTAAGCCTAAACCGTACATGTAACAATAAAAGGAGCAAAAGTAGGAAATTTTATGTAGAATATTTTAGAAAGAGTATTTTGCCTAAATTCGATAATATTTTTATAGATTTACATAGGCAAAAAATAGAAGAAAATTATATTTTTCATATTTTTTATGATACCTGAAACTCCAACGAACAATTTGTTTTAGAAAACTTCAGATTCGTATTCAGCACCGCAAAAAATATAAAGGAGCAAAAAATCGAAACTACACAACAATATATTTTAGCACACTATGTAATGACTGGGCAAGTGAGTGCCTACAAAGTTTTATTTCTCGTATCGCTACTACATACGCTATTGCACCCTGTGACGCTATTTTACTTCGGAAATGTGAACATATATATTTGGTTTGTGATTATTTCAGTCGATGGATTTCAGTTTCGCTCACATACTGGTCTTCAGTCTTCCCAGAAGTTTGTACGCTATATTGTTTTTCTGGTGTACTTTATAAATGCACAAGAGTTTATAAAATAATTACATGACGTAATAGAATAATGTTGCAATAATATAATAATTTATTCATACCAATCAGTGGTTAGTGGTCAGCACAAGTCGAACAAAGCGAATCATAAGGATATGGTATTATAGGAATTAAGCATAAGCAGCACACGCAGTTAGGAACTACTTCCAATTAGAAGGACAGGTTGTGCAAAATATCTTTTTTATACTTCACACACCACTGGTCACGAGTTTACGCTACACAATGCAAAAGCTCTAATATATTTTAACGTGTATCAGCCTTGCTAAACACACAGAATAAAAATTCCAATTGTAAATCTACGTTCTTATTGCAATGCATGGATAATCACACGTCTTTCGAACTAATAAGACTTGTGAGGCACTCCAGTCGCTGCAAAGTAAGATAGTTAAACAGACATCTCTTCTTGAACTGAAATATCACTTAAAGAAATGAGTGACATAAACGTTAAAAATATTTAAGTTTTTATTAACTAAACAAACCTTTATAAGGAAAGAGATGGTGATAAATATTGAGAAGATAAACATGCCACCCAGGCCGTACAGGTGCAGTGATCTCCGACCCATGCGATCCATCAAGAATATGGACACAAGGGTCATCACCACCATTATCGAACCTATACCAATTGTGGCAAATTTTGCTTGCTCTTCCGACAGTCCAGAGCTCACAAACAGACCTGTCGAATAATAGAAAACCTGTGGACAAAATACATCAATTACATTAATTAGACACTTACATTCAATCATCAGATATAATCTAATAATGAAGCAGTTTCTTAAGATTGTGACAGTATTATTAAAAAATACATGAAGGTATACACGTGTCTAAGAATATATTTTACAAACGCCTACGACATATAGGGGCCGAAAATAACTTTTTCATTACAACGGATACGTGGTGGGAAATCTTCTACCTGTTGCACATGCAACATTTGCTCCTGATGAATAAGAACTCGTGTTAATGTTCAGTATGTTCACGAAATATAATTGGGAGCATCTGAACGTGTCCCTGCCAAGACACGTGCGCGATGAGTTGCCTAACAATCATTTACCTTTTCATACCTATGCCCGGGTTCGACCCATGCGGCGCTTCTGTGACGTAGTGGTATGAATGCTGGCACGTTAACTCTGAGAATATGAGTTCGCGTCTCGGAACGGAAAAATAATTAGCTGCTTGGAAACATTTTTTCTGGTTATGTAGTAGTGTACTAGAGTAGTGTGCCTCTGGTACAGACAACACAACACAGTTTAAGGCAATAGCTTTCCGCCCCAAGCCTCTACCCCGGCCTTCGCTCCGACCACTGCAGCGGTCTCCTCCCCAGCCTCCGCCCCTGACACGACCACCGCTCCATAGCTGCCATAGCTTCCCCCACGGCCTCCGCCAAGGCTCCCTTAGCGACCCGCGAAATTTACCTAAGAACATGCCCACACCTCAGCTCATTCAAAAGTGTGGAAAGTACAAGCCATCACCTTATCGGGAACAGTCCATGTATTGCACGAAGTATTATGGATGTTACTATAGTCACTATATTGAATTATCTGCCGAATTAGATTTTATATATAACTGACACGACATTTTTGGTCGTGAATTTAGGGTATAACATAACGCAAACCAAAACAATTCGACGAAGTAGTATATAGTGCTTAATAAATAGCCCGACACCCAAAGTACACTCTATGACCTGTACAGTTAAAGTTATGTTGTATGCATCTCTAAATTATCCGGTACGGCTACAGGCCTTCTTATATCAATTTCTGCCACATCCCCATAAGCTGCAGAGTGCTCAGTAATGGTATCCGTTCGGAAGGCGAGATTTCTACAATAGTCCGCTTCATACCAAATTATAATGCGCAGATCATTATTCGAAATAAATCATCCTAAAATAATCAGATCATCTTCCACAAACTCTCTAACATTTCATCAGGAAATAAATTTAATTTCAAGCTAACAATTTCAAACTTTTTGCAAGTGCATTTAAGCTGCTGTTTGGGGTTCTAGGTACTATTGTAAAACTTGAAAAACACTTTAACTATCATTTCCAATTTTTGTGTAATGTTATGAATAATTACTTTGTATGTCAAAAGCATACTTACAGCATTAATCCCTGATAGTTGTTGCGAAAGCTGCATTACCACCCCAATGATAAGAGGCGATCTAAGTGTCGGCGAGCAAATTAATTCCATCATGGAAATCGTGGCTTCCGCTTGCTGGGCTCTTTCTTCTGCTCGCATTTCTTCGATGTCTTCCTCCACTTGATTTGAAGCACGCAACCTCCGTAGCGCTATTGGGAAAAAAATAATGTATGATGAACTGTCAAAACATGCAACACGGAATATATGGGAAATATTTGAAAACTGAAAGGACTGTGATGGCAACAAGGTAAGCCACTTCAGCCACACAAGCCTCCTACTATTCGTAAATGATTATCGCACATTTGGTTGAAGAGTGGTATCTAGTTACTGCTGCAAATCCTTCATAAATATTAATAAAGACCAGTAACCAGACGCTTTCACCTAAATGGAGATATTAACTACCTATTAACCTTGTTACTGTCCAAAGCCCTTCAAATATATTTCCGATTGTACACGTATACACTTATATGTAGAAAAGAGCTCAATGATTGATTGAGATCAACTGCTGTTAGACCAGTTCGTGTCGAGAATGTTTATCTCAGGAGGTAGTGATGTTCCTTCCCCACTGGGTGAGATCCGCCGCCGACATCCACCAGTAACCAGACGGGGTTTCCCGTTTTAAGGTACCTCCGAAGCGGTGCACCGCCGCATCCGGAACATGTTCTCAGCTCCCGATATGTGTGGTATAGTAGAGAATGTAAGAGTATGTAAGGGGAGAAGATATGGCAAGGATGAGGAAGGAAATATCGCGCCCGGTCGGGGGCCGGTTTATAACAGTACGTCTGACATTCGCCTGGAATTGTTCGAAAAAAAATGGAAAACTGGCGATCGTGGCAGCCGGCCGCTAGGATTCCCCTCATGACAGCAGATGAATTCGATGAACTAGTACAGAGCTGTACCGAAAATCCACTACCGTCGGAACTCAAACCCAAGGACCTGAGCGCGAGTCGCAGCAGACAGTGGCAAAGCTGGCTCTGAGTTTACCTCTGTCGACACTAACTGAAAGAAAACTCAATAACTCTCTCTCCGATGCGTTGCCTATGATATTTGCGGTATGTGTTAAACAATTTCCCCTGAACGAGCTTTGACTTTGACTTGTAGCAACAAGTGGTTCGAAGTCAAAATTCCTTCTTTCGGGGTTTGCGTATTGGTCCGTCAGAGGTTGGAAGTGGTGGCCTTTCCACTCTGAGCGACATTTTTCTGTATTGCTTGCTCACTTTCTGTTTGCTGACGAAACAGTTTTTGCAGCAAATACAGTTTTTTTTCTCGAAACACTAGTCAGTACACGTAGCTGACAGCCTCCATTCATTGCCAGATTTTAGTTTACACCGTGCACGTCCCTTTCAACAATGGGAACTGAATATTTAGTCTATGTTTTGAAGACTACGATGTAAGTTATAAACAAAATGTCAATATTTTCTCCGCACATTTAAGAAGAGTTTCTTAAAAACGCTAAACAGAAGTTATCGCCAGGGTAGCAACAGCAGCAGTAGTAAATAGTTTTACGACAGTTGAAAATAGAGAAGTGTTTCCAATGCTCAACAATGATCATAAAGCTGTGACTCAAATAAACATAAGAATGACTATTTCATTCGGGAAATTAAAACCAATAGTGTGAAACTTGACCTACAAAATGCCCCAATCAGGGCGGTGTATCTCTAAACGTTTATCACTTTTTTATCCGATTTTTCTTGCCGCTTTCCTCTACTCGTCAATCAAAAAATGTGACCCATCTATCCTAAGAGGCTGTATACATCGATTGCTATGCGATGTCCAATAAACTTTCTAAGTACTATAACATAACCTCTTTGATTTTAACACATTTTCCATTTTTGGCGCATTTTGGAACTCTGTTAGATGTAATTTCATTCGTGGAATTGTCCTACAAATACCACTCGTCTTTGGAAATTCTCAAATGAATCCCCTCTTTGCTCCGCGAGTCGGGGTCTTATCGACAATTCCCAAATGTATTACCTATGAAAATTGACTGATTCATGAGCAATTTCTGGCACGTCAACTGCCACGGTGATTAGTAAGAGTAGTGCATATTTTTTTGCGGAAGGTGGCCTTAATCTCCTCCGCTGGATGGCGAGAACCGGCGCCGACCTACCTCGTATCTCGGGAATTTTCCCCAACGTATCTCCCACCAGCAGGATACCGCCCCACTGGTCTTCCCATAAGTGTGGTAGTGGAGTGTAAGTGCTTGTAAGTAAGGAGTGATGATATGATAAGGAAAAGGAAGAAAAGATAGCGCGCAGTCCGTTTGTTAGTGTACTGCTCTGTCATTCGTCTGACGTTGAAAGAAAACAACGAAAAACTACCCATTAGAACAGCTGAGTGCTAGAAGTCTCCTTGGAATAGCTATCTTGCTAGAGTGGAAAATCCTATCACCGACGGGATTCGAACCAAGGACCTCCCGGTCAGAGGCACTGTAGTGACAGCCCTGAGCCCTGAGCTACCTTTGCCGATATTTGAAGGATAAAAAACAGAGGCGTAAGAGTGCGTTAATTATTACATGGCACCTCAATCAAATAAATTTAAAAAATATCAGATAAAAATAAATTCACGGTAAAAGGTATTAAACAAAAAAAATAATAGTTATGTTGAGAGCTAAATTCTCTCAGCACATTATTCCAAAATGTTATCAAAATTACGAAAATACGAATGTCATGCACACAGCAAAAGCGTTAGCTGTCTTGCACACGACGCGATCAGTGCAGTAGAGTTTTGACAATTTATAAGAAATTTTCGAAACAAACTCCTGTGGGAGTGTTTCTGGCCAATAGGTAATTACTCCATAGTCAATCAGTTTTCAGACGAAACTAGTGGTTCTCTACAGCACATACTTTCTCGCATTATTTCTAAATTTGCTATTTTCGAAAAAAATCAAAGAGTTGAATGAAAATGAGACTTGCACCATTCTTTAAGCGTTCTTTGTTCTACCCGTGGAAACATGGATTAAAAAATCTGGAACGGTTTTCGAGAAGTTTTTAAAAATAAAATGCAAGCACATCTTAGGTAAAAACTACTCTTTTTTTCAAATATGGTACGTAACCTTTTTTAAAGAACAGATTTTTTAAAAATTTAAGGTCGCTTTTTAACAACTGGGTCATTAGCGATTCACCCTCCACCTTGGTCGCGTTGGTATCGTTTCTAGATTTTCAGGCCGGCCGCTCGCCACCCGCTCCCCTGTGCGTACCTTCGAGCTAGGGCAACCACATCCCCGCGGACAAAGGGTAGGTCAGGCTCGGCGGTTTATAAACGGCCACAGGCCACAGATATCGTCGCTCGTTTTCCGCTCTTCGTGAGCGAGGCGGCAGAGGCGACGAGGAAGTGATCACCAGCATTCCGCTGTACCGTTGCCCTCGGGATGGCCAAGTGGGAATCGAGCAGAGAGAACCGCGATCGATCCACCGCCACCCTATCTGCCATTCTCCACCGCTTACCACCCCTCCCTCAACCCCATGGCGTCAACCGACTGAGTGCTGTGTTGCGTAGCAGCTGTAAGGATGTAATCGTGTTCTTGTAATAAGGGCTTGCACATAATAAACTGCCTTTGGTAATCAACCCTGTGTTCGTCTTTCTCCCGTTGCATACTCCCTCCTCTCATGTCTTGAAGACATATTGGTGTCAGGTGTAGGGTGATCTCGAAAGGGAGGAAGCGTGGGATGGAAATCCGGGCACCGAAAGGGAGCACGGGTTCAAACCCCACCATGAGTTGGCTTTCAGAAGCAAAGCGAGAGGACGCGAACGCGGATAATGTGACGGTCATACAAAATTATTTTTTTCTCCATCTTGTATTTAAAATTTTAGGCGCGGGGTTGTTTAAGCAATATCACGCCGCACCGAGGCAATAGGCAGTCTACTTTTCCCCCTTCGTGCTAAGGCCAGCTCGCCTTGCCCCCAGGAAAACTGGGTTTAGAACGAATCTCATGGATTTTGTTTCCACTATATTAAAAATTGAAGGCGTTAGAACCCCCAGGCCACAAAATCTAGCATGGCACAACCTAGCGTATCTGCCGGTCAGATCTGTCGCGTCACGTCGTTTAATGATGAGGACGGTACGGAAAGTTTTTCAGAGCGTCTCCGAATAGTGAGTAATTCTAGTAATTAGAGGGGAGGCCCAAATTATGCCTAGTCCGCTAGCGACTCGCCGGAGTCGCATCGGAATTTGCAGAAAACAATGCGAGCGTAGTGGCATCCTGGGATTTGTGTAAGTATGTTCTACACGAAATTATCGCGGCCTACTTTCGAAACAAATTAACGATTGTACTTGCAACTGGAATCGATTAGAGACTTCATCAACGGACTCTGGTCGCTAGAGCGAGTACGTAGCTGCTACAGGTAACCCCGACACAGCCGCGAATAAGGCGATATTCGAGGAAATTATGTTAGCGCAATTTTTAGCAGGTCTGAGAGAGGAAGTAAGTCGCTTCGTTTCAGTACGATGTCCAAAAACAATGCCAAAAGCGGTAGCATTTGCAAATTAAGAAGCGCATGCTAAGTGCTATGCGTCTGCGACCCGAACCTTCAACTCGCTGAACTCTCTTGGCGAAGACCCTCTGCAAGGATAGGCACAGTATGCGACAATGTCGCAGACGGCGGGGCAACTTTCTTTTTATGCACCCAACTCGCGCAACGCAACGGGCAACACCGCCGCGACCGTATGTGCCAGTGCAGGGTACCGCCTTCCCACCTTAATGACATTTCCGTTCAATTCAGATTTGGAGTTCTTTGCCATTCAGCAATCACTCGGTTGCTACTCGGTAACCGCAATCCCATCTCCTCGACAGTCACTCGCGGCTAGAGTGTGTTATCAATGCGGAAAACCAGCCATTTTTCGCGAAATTCTCCGGAGAAAAAACGATGTTTTAATTCCGGACAGGCAGACCACAACTTAAGGAAATGCCCACTGATAATATGTAGTAGATGCAAAGGAAGCCCGATAATGTGCTGCAGATTGCCCGAAAACGGATGCGATTTCGGGAAAATAATAGGGGTCGACGGGGCCTGGGACGAGATATTAGCCGTTTCCCGGGCAGACGGCATGACAATCAGTGTTAGAAATTTAGGAAGACGGCTCCGATTTCTGGTGGACACAGGAGCAGCGGTTACTTTATGCGATTGCAAAATATTTCCTTTCGATCAA